AGACTTTCTGTTATACTGCTTTAATATCAAATATTGGTATCATATTAAGACAAAATACTTAAAGAAATATTGCTTATATATATTAATAGTGAAATGACAAAACCTGAAGATATGACAATAGACGAAATCCGTGAACAACTGGCATTGTACAATAGGCTGTATTACAATAAAAGGCGTGAAGACAAAGAGTATTTAGATAAGAAAAAGGCTTCAAGAGATAGGTATCTGGAGAAAAAGAAGATGGAAAAGTACATAGCCGAAAATGGTATAGATATTTCAGTCGTGAAGTTGACACCAGAACAGAAGGCAGAAGCATTGGGAAGTAAAAAGAAAGGAGCTAAATACACCATGAAAAACTGCAAGGTGATAACAGTGATACCTGAAGAAGAACCAGAAGAAGAGAAATAATAATCTTTGTGAAAATATTGTCATTTTTCTTACCTTAAAAGGGCTTAAAGAAAGGATAACTTAAGACAAATAAGGATATGAGCAAATATCAAAATGGCAAGATTTATAAAATCGTTGATGTAGGATATAACAAATGCTATATTGGAAGCACTACTGAAAGTCTAAGTCAAAGAATGACGAGACACCGTGCTTATTACAACAAATTCCTCAGCGATGGGCAAGTCAAAACAACATCTTCACTCCTACTGAACGAGTACAGCCCTAAAAACTGCAAAATTGAACTTATTGAACTGTACCCTTGTATGAGCAAAAAAGAACTATTAAGAAAAGAAGGAGAGTACATTAAAAACACTGATTGCGTAAACAAAAACATTGCAGGTAGAACGGTGCAGGAATATAGGCAAGACAATGCAGAAACAATCCGTGTCAAAGCGAAGATGTATAAGCAAGAGAATCACGAACATATCAAACAAATACGAGATGAAAAGCGCGACTACTTGAATCAACAAAACAAAGAGTACTATCAAGCAAAAAAAGAAAGTATAAACGAGAAGCACCGACAACACTATGTGAATAATAGAGACACGATAAACACCAAGCACCGAAATCATTATGAACAAAACAAAGAAAAAGTGCTAGCAAATCAAGCGCAAAAAATCACTTGTATTTGTGGAGTTACACATCGCAAAGGTGACAAAGCAAAGCACGAACGAACCAAAAATCATCAACGATGTATTGCGCAGTCACAGGAACACGCAGAAGAAAATTTATAATATCATCTTTATTATAATGAGTTCTAATAAAGATGATATAATAAGTAGCATTTATTATGATAGAAGCGGTTTTGGGAGCGTTGCTACGACATACAAAGATAGCAAAGCAAAAGATGCAACAATTACCCTAAATGATGTGAAAGAATGGTATAAGAAAAACATAAAACAGAAACAACAATTACGCGGACAGAATTCGTTCGTAGCCACAGAACCATACTGGGAATATCAACTTGACTTATTCTTTATAAATGACATCCCAGACCAAAATTTTAAAGTAGGTGCTGTAATGATTGACATTTTTACCAAGTATGCAACTATTGTACCAATCAAAAGCAAGGACGAAGGAAATGTAGCAAGTGCTTTAATACAAGGATTTAAGGAAATGGGTAAGAACCCAAGACTTCTTTATACGGATGATGAACCAAGCCTAAACACGGAAGCAATACAAAAATATTTGAAGGATAACAACATAGAACACCACAGAACGAGAGGACATGCAAATTTTGCTGAGCGTTTAATAAGGACATTTAAAAAAGATGTTGTATGATAGGGTTGAAGCTGATGAAAAGAAAAACAAAGGAAACATTCAATGGACTGACTACATTTTTGAAATCCTGTTGACATACAATAACAAAAATGTACATTCATCACATAATATGACTCCAAAGGAAGCTCGTTTACCGAAAAATGAACTGAAAGTAGAATTGGAACTAAACATGAATGCTAAGCGTAGCAGGACATACCCAGAAATAAGCAAAGGTGACAAAGTAAAAATATTCAGAAAAAAAGGGTGTAGGAGAAAAAGAAAGAACTTCAAAATGGTCACAGAATATTTACACCGTTGAGAGAATAGACGAGAAACTAGGACAAAAATATTATTTTGTTAATGGTATGGAAAGAGCCTATTTAAGATTTGAATTATTGAAGGTTTCTTAAGAAACACACTTAAAGAAATAACAACTTAATATATTAAGATAAAAATGTTCAGTGAACAAGAACAGGAAGAAATCATTAATCAATTCTTGGATGTTATTGAGATGAAGAAGATAATCAACAACAAAGTAAGTATGTGCACCAAATGCAAATTTACACCGCAACATATGAACCTATATCACTTACCATTGTCTGAAAATACTGTGAAAAATATATGCAAATTTAATTACAAAGAGTGCGAGACATGCACCACACTAAGACAGTTGAAAAGTAATGTTTATGGTTGTAGCATGAAAAAATATGACAATGCAGTTGAAGCAGTTGAAGATAAACCTTGTATTGAGGAATACAGAGGGGGCGAGAAGGAGAAAAGAAACACACAAATGTATTTTTACGTGAACCTAAACCCATTCCCAACATACAAAAAACGTCAATCAAAAGTATTAAAAAATGATACAAAATTCTACAACGAAAAAATCCACAAGGAAATCAAGAAATGTTATTACAATTTATGGCGCGATAAGGATGACATAAAATCGTTTTACACCAAGCTTCGTAGCCAGATAGTTGCAGAATACGACAAAACATTTAAGAAAGACGTTGATACAAGACAAAGGTTTGAAAAATATATTGCTTCACACATGAACCCAGTAAGCGATATTTTAAAAAGCATCTGCGATTATATCGCTAACAATGAAGAGCAAAATCAAGTTGAACACAAACTGTATTCAAAACAAACCTCATCTTGGGTTAAGGCGAGACTTTCAATAATTCATTTTAATGATGACTACTCGTGGGAAAGGTATATGGATACAAGGTATCCATGGCTACCAAAAGATGAGTATCTAAGAAGAAATGGTATAACAACAACCAAGAAAATTGACGACAACTATCTAAACCTTGACGATTTTGATTAGGCAAGTAATATTAAAACATTAATATTATTTGTTATTTGTATTCCCTGAACGCGAAAGCCTTCGCGTAGCATACGCGAACCCTAACTTTTCAGTTCCTTAGATTTTTTATGTTGGTTTTTGATTGTAAACAGCATGTTTGGTTCACTAGAGTAAAAATACTAAGCAAATACTATGAAAATATTCATGTTATTTGTGTTTTGTATCTTTTCATACCCCTAAATCTTCAGTACCTTACTTTTCGTATTTTGCTTTTTGATTGTTTTCTTGTTTTATAAAACTTTTGAGCCCAAACGCCTTAGGGTTTTATGGGGATTTAGGGGACAAAACCCTAAAACCCCTAAAAACCACAACCTAAACCCAAATCCTAAACCCTAAAAGCGCCAAGCACCTTCTGAGGCCGTCGCAGCGCTTTGACTGTTAAACAGTCGGGTTTCCCCTGTGTCCGTTCCAGTTGACCCAAATAGCCAGTCTTATATCCCAAACCCCTAAGCCCTAAACCCTAAACCCTCAAGGCCGCACCCGTGCCACGAACTCGCAGAGGAAAAGGTCGTTGTTGTACACCTACACCTGGCGGGTTTTTACGTCGCGTTTTTTAGAGTAAGGGGGTAAGGCACTCACTTGCAGAACGGACTGCACTGCAAAAAGGTGACACAATATGCATCGCAAAATCGCACCCACAACTGCTTTCAAGCGCAGGACACAGGTTTCTGACTTGACATCTCATGTCTTCGGACTATCACACACCAAGCTTCGAATCAGTCATGGGGCAACAACTTTGCGGCCGTCAGCCCTCATTGGTCACTTGTCCTGAAACACGGGTGCAACCAATGCCGGCCGCCAGTGCAAAAGCTGCAACAACGGCAACGGAGGTAAGGTCAGATCTTTCCCTGATTTCATCCGTCTTCTTGTCAATTGCGGCCACCTGCTTGTCGATGGTGGCCTTGATGTCATCTGTCTTCTTGTCAATGGCGGCCACCTGTTTGTTGAGGCTTTCCGTGTAAACGTCGATGCGAGTATTGGTTGTCTCAACTCGCATAGTCAAGGCTGCAATCTCCTGTGACAAGCCTGAGCCGGCAAAGCTAACAACCAGTGCTGTGAACAAGCCATAAACCTCTGCAGGCTCCGTCACTGGGAGCTCCAAGCCGCCCTTCTTGCCACCCTGTGGATCACGTGGCTCGGGAACCAGAAACGGTGTCGACGGCAACGTGATGAAAAACGCCAACATGGCACAAGCTACGACGAGACGCTTCATCAAGGTAGGCACAAGCTAGGACACAAAAGTGTTTGAAATGACATTGCTGCAGCATACCATGTCTCAACAAACAAACTTCCCGGTATCCGCAGAACACATGCCAGGCGTGCCTCACAGAACTTGTTGTCGCCGATGTCGTCTTTCCAATGACGCTGGAAAGTATGGAACGACTATCTACCCCATACTATGCCCCATAAAATGAACACGAAAGTTTTCGTGTTGTTAAAAACGAATCAACCTAACCTTGCCCGTTTCGGGATGTTACATCACCTGATAAATAGGATG